AGTAGCCTCATATGATAACATTTTAAACTGGAACACTGGGGAATAACTGATGTTAAGACTATTAAAATTTTTTAGGTCAGAACTGGTACAAACATATAAAATACCAAATCTTTACCAATTTCTCCTAGTAATACAACCTATCTCAAATACTGAATATGTACTTTCTAGAAGGAAATATTATTATGCAGAAAGGTAATATTCTTTCAATTAGAACCAAAAGATAAACTCCCACAAATTTTAACTCTCACTGTAACAGAAAGAATAATGAATATTTCAAAAAGCATTTTTCTCATGAATTGCAAACTATATGCTGGTGGTTTGTCCCTAGGTCTTCTATCCTTTCTCAAAAGTACTTTTAATTGAAAACAATATGCAGATGCAAAAAGATAAAGGAAGTAAACAAATGCACAGATTACAATTACACAAACAAGTCTTTCTTACAGCTAACAAGTGAAGGGCAATAGTAGAAAGCTTACTACTACAGGAAAAACATGAGTTATTCAGATTTAAATTTTCTAGCTGCTTTTATTTTTCAGTTTAGGAAGCAAATTTAGTATGTACATACATGTCGTATTCTATCTAACTGTGTAATTTCTCTCTCTGAGAAAACTTCCAAAATATCTTAGTTGATGTGGGGAGCAGGCATTTAATGTAACATACATAAATAACCGCTTTTTTGAAAATCAACAAATGGTGGGAGGGTTAAGCAAGAATCTACCATACAGAACTTAAAGAAACTTAGTTGTATATGTTCATGCTATTTACTTGAAGGAATCTGCAAAAACTCCATTTTTGGAAAGGCTCAAATTTAGGAAGTACCTGCTCATAAAGTTTTTTACATCTCATTTGTTCCTATAAATTTTAATAAGAAACTTTATCTTCCAAGAGGAGAAAATCTGGACATAAAATTCTTTAACACTGTCAAATCCTAAATTGAATGCTCTGCACTAGGTGGAAAAGTCACGGTTCTAAAATAATGTCATGTCATGACAATACAACAAAAATATCAACAGTGATAAAAATGACTCAGCAAAAAGTAATGGTGGTGATGGTAAAAGCTAATATTTAATAAGCATTTTACTCAATGCTAGGCATTGTGCCAAGAAATGAATATGCACTTTCATTTAATCCTTACCAAAAACCTCAAGTAAGGTACTATTATTTCCATTTCATATAAGACACAAATAAAGCTGGGTATAACTTGCCTCAGATGATACATGGTATGTGCTGGAGCTAGAATTTTAAATCAAACAATGTGGATATAGAGCCGCTCGCCACCCCTTTCTTAACCACACGCTCGACTCTTAAGAAGGTCCTGGTTGTAAATTGATAAGGTAAGGTAAAAGACTGTTAATAATAACTTTGAAACCAACCTTGTTTTTCTTAATTTTAATAATTTTTCCCCCAGATGTTTTTGAATCTGAATAGAAGAACAAGTCCTGGTAGCCCCTTAGAGAAAACTGGACGGATGTTAAATATAGAATAAACTTTGTTCTTCCAGTAAAAACAACCCTGAAATAATTATTTCAGACACTCTACTTAGCGTTAATAACTGCTGAAAATAGCTTAAAAAAGAAGGCACTTATTTCTTTAATTTCGTGTATAACCAGTCCTTGATTATTTGTGGCAATAAAAGGGAACAGCATCAGTACAGATAACTGAAAACTATGGATATTCTAACTCCCGTAAGTAAAGACAAGGCAGGGTATCCTTGATGGAACAGAGAAGGAGCCATGCTCTCTTAAAGAGGCCTAGCAGGTTAACAGGAAGGGGTTCCCATACAAAGAAATAACAGGTTAATATGTAATGTAACCAAGTACATAATACTTGAAATTCTCAAACTGGAGGAGTTAGATGAACAGCAAGTTTTAAAAAAATCCTACAGTTTAAAAAAAAGAAAAGCAATTATTCCATTTGTGGGAGAACTTTAATATGTAGTGTAAATGTAATACTGGCTCCTCAGAACACAGAAAGCAGGGGTTCTCAAACTTTGGCATGTACTAGAATCACGTGGAAGACTTGTTAAAACTTAAGATAAATCTTTAGGTGTTCAAGGTGTTAAATGAAAGATGGCCAGTCCAAACATCCAACAAGTATTTACTGAAGAGCTATGTGCCTCCAGATGAAATAGCAAGAAGGATGACAACCCTCTGAGCCTAATGCTCCCTGCTAACCTTATGGGCTAGTCTTAGACAAACAATGGGAACGTAAATGTCATGCAGACTTTAAACCCCTACAAATAAGCTAGAACTCCCCAAAGCGCTAAACCCACCACCTAACTATCTATCTCATTATGAGTGCTATAGAGCCAAGGGGCAGGGGTGTGGGGTATTGTGAGACAACATGGATTCTTAAATCAAGCTATCGTGTTTAGGAAGAACCACAAAAACTAAAGAAACCTTGATGTTCTTGATGAATATAAGGTTCTAGAATACACAAATTCAAGAGTGCAGTATATGATTTCCACCTTACAACACAACCAGAGATGAAAATTTTAAGTGAGCTCTTCAGACCGCAACTAATGTTATTAAACATCAACAGTTAAGTAAAAAATAAAGAACAGATGAAATGTAAAACATCTGGCCAGGTTCATTTTTAGACAGCTCCTACCACACATCAGCCAAAACAAAAAGACATATTACCTACAAGTTACAGACCTTAAATAGCTCAAACCTTGAGATCCTTAAATGCTTAGATTCTAATCTAGTCCTTAAGAGTGAAGAGCTGCTAGCAAAGAGCATAAAAAAAACAGTGCTCAACTGTAGGCAAGTTAAACCAATACATCTTACACCTTAAACTTACACAATATTATGTCAGTTATCTCTCAAAAACAAACAAAAAATCCAGGGCTCACAGCTGTAATCATAATGGCACTGTCATACCTCCTAAGGATATTAATATGTGGTCAACATAGTGGAAAGGTATCCAGCCAGTAACCATTAACATAGAAATTGGGATGTAAAGTCCTAAAGTTGGTTTAAAAAGCCAGCTCAATCTGTACTCGTAGAAAATATTAAGGAAGTTTTATGTGTTAGAATGAAAACCTTTTGACAATTTCATTAATGAAATGTAGACAATTGGTATTGGTATTGGTAATTGGTATTAAATGGAAATGGAGATTTTATATATATATATATGTGTGTGTATATATATATGTGTATGTATATATATATACACTCCCATACACACATCAGAGAATATGTATATTTATGTTGATGAACTGATAAGGGGTTAAATTTCTCTTTTAAATGTCCTTCCTTAGATGTCATTAGGAAAAAATACATTTCGAAGATAATCGGGAGTAACCAAAACAAAAACAAATTTCTAGTCTTAGGCTACATTTCCCAGGAGTTAAGTTCTTTACTACAGTACTTCAGTGTTTTTGTTATTTTAATATGCACTGTGAAGGGGGGCAGGGTTAGCACATAGCAAGTCCCAAACATATCGGCCCAGGTATTTTGCCTACGATGCATATGTACTTTGGAAAATGCTGCAACTGACAATCACTTGCCAAAAAGCAGTTATAATGACTAACTTTTTGCACCAGTTTAAGGTGGGTGGACATAACCTCAAACTCTTTAAAACTCTTCCTACCATGTGGGCTAGTTAACTTTGGCCCAATTTGCTTTCTGGAGGAGGCTAAATAAAGCTTGAGAGGTAATACTTCATTATTAAATCATACGTATACATATTTTTATATTTCATTATTAAACGGTATACACACACACAAATGTATTCACAAAGAAACCACAAAGAACGTGTGATACACTTCATTAAAGCTTTTTAAAATACCAAGATTTCTGAATCAAAATAAAAGCTGCATGGTATGGACTATACTTTTGATGCTCATCCATTATAAAAACCATAAAATACTAAAATGGGATCACACTGTAACATGACATACAAATGGAGGGGGCTGACAATCACTGTTATACTGCTGAGTCTATTAAAGTGGAAATACCACTTATCTACTACATTTCTTGTATGTAGGGAAAAGCCAGGAGATACTAGAGTTCTGTAATTTATCTTACTGGGAGGATCTGAAACTACAAATAAAATTCTCAAGTGTACTTACTTGAGAACATATACTCAATGCATAGCATAAAGTTATGCTCCTGAAAGACGGACTCCAAGAAGTTGCTACATGCCAATGGGTATCTGCCTTACATATTTCAAAAGTAAGACTTTAAAACGTATAAAATACCTGGAAAAAATATGGTACTGCTTAGTTACACACCCCTTGCAAAATACCGCGGATCTTAAAGCTGTCCACACAGTACCTAATTCAAAAGCTTCATTTGGCAGATGAAACTGACGCCCAAAAAAGGCTGTTTTGCCCCGCTGCTATATACAGTTGTGGATTTCTCTGATGAGGTTCAATTATCTAATTTCTTGTCTTCTATTCACAGCAATGCTCTGTTAGTTGTCTCCTCTTTGTCCTGTATCTTACCGTCCCCTTGCCTCAGTCTTACCAAAAACACTGTAAGCAGTGCTTACTCTACCTCTTTCCCCTCTCCTTCCATCTTTCTCTCCAGGTCCCATTTCCCTTTCATGTCCCTCTTCATTAATCACTCACTTTTTCTCTTCCCTCAGTTATTTAGAATTAGAATTTTAATGTTAACTCTTTTACTATTTACTTTTACTATTTTCACTATTCATTCTAAAGCCAATATAATTCAGCACAAACATGTATTAACTTGAAGAAGCTTCTAATCATTATCAAGAAAGATATCAATCAAATCTTATACTTGGGGACATTGATTCCACTCATGTTTACATCTGTGTTTTAGCTTCCATATAACCATCTTGGGGATAACCAGTAAATCGAAATATTAAACAACATTACCTTAACAAAAACCAAGTTATAAAGCTTGAGCCTGCTGCTCAGCTCTTCACTCTGAGACCTACTTAGTACCTATCATCATACAATCAGAACAGCAAAATCTTATTTGTCAACGTATGATTCAATTAAATGAAGAAGGGATAAAAGAAAATCTTACCCCCAATGGTACTCTCTTGAAATTCATGAAATTGGCCCTTCACAAAACGAAGCACCAGGCTCGATTTGCCAACAGCAGACTCTCCCAGAAGTACTAATTTGAACTGGCATATTTTATTTCCAGTATTTGGCCCATTGGGTCTTGTTGCTCCTCGATTAGCCATGTCCAAATTTGAAAGAAGTCCCTAATTTCAGTCTCTTAAATGAACTTCCAGGATGCAAGGTGTCAATTTTTTTCTTTCTGGAGGTAGAGAAACCTGTAAAAAAACAAATATGAAGTAATTAAGTATACAAATCAGCAAAACAAAGCAAATCTACTATTAATCACTTTGGTAAATTCTGCCTGTAACACATTATTGCATGACAATTATAACCTCTGATAGACACTGAGTGTCATTTAGTTTAATTCACTACCTTTGTCAGTACTGTAAAGGCATGAGATTTGAGCCTAAAATCATGCTGTAATCAAGGCTTTTAAAACATTTTAAAGCTAACCTTTATCAAAGACTCAATTTTGTGCCAGGTGATTTTAAGTACTTAACACAGCCACTCAACAATCCTATAAAGTTGACTATTACAATCCTTAAAAAGGAGGAAAACAGGCACAGAGAGGTTAAGTAACTTGAGGTCACACAGTTACTGTGACAGAGCTTCAACAGAGCTGAGTTTCAAACCCTGGCAACCTGAAAGGTGACTCAAGTACTTAGGTTAAAACAGTTTTGAGTAAAATTAAGTTAATAAGTGGAAAGCTCTTAGAATAGACCTTAGAACACACTAACAGCTCAATAAATGTTGGCCATTATTATTTGAAGGCTTCTGTTAAACAGTACATGTTTTTTGTTTATTTAACGGTAGTTTTGGAGCAACAAATATATTAAGTAGGTGGTGTGTCTGGTGCCTAAAAGACTTAAAACTGTTTTCTGATGTGCTCAAGTATATCAGACATGGAACTGTTAACTGTGGTTCTCTATGTGGTGAGTGAATTAGTGTCTTAGTTATACTTTTCTGTAGTTCTGGAGCTAACAAATGTGTCGTTACTTTCTATTTAACACATTTAGAAAAAGCTAGCCTGAAGGGCAACTTCTATGTCTTCTACTATTATCTAAGAACGCTAATTTTCAATCTCAAAGAATTAGGGAACTTTCAAAGAACTCTTTTCCAATCTATTCACAAATCAATCATCATAGTTTTCTTCCATCTTTAATCAAAAGCTGATCATGTGCTAATAACATTAAATCTGATGATTCCCCTTCTCAAATCACTGTTCTATTTCATTTAGGTACCTAATAAGATATTTGCCTTACCCATGAAATTAGTTTATACAAGAATCCCTCTTGACCACGAACTCATTAATAAACATATCCATGAGACCTTACATTCATGGCAATAAAATCACCTCTGCCTTACCTAAACAGCAGCTTTGAAGAGTCCTTACCTTTTAGTAATACGTATTGAAATACTGACAAATGAAATAATAGGTCTGAGTTGCTTCCAAACAATGGGGGCGTAAATAAAACAAGATTGGCCATAAAATAACTGAAGCTAGGGTGATGGGTTCATTATACTATTCTTCCTACTTCTGTACATTTAAAAAATTTTCTGTAATAAAAAAATGCTCCAACCCCACATCTATCCTCCTACCACCCCAAAAACATATCAGATTTGGGGATCTAATCCTGGCTAGCTATACCAATTTCTGCTGGAGCAAGTGCTTTCATTTCAAAGCCTCTATTTCCAGTATACCTAACTTTCATAACTGCTGTGAGAAGTAAACAAGAAACTATATATGTAAAAAGTTTCTAATACAGTGGTCAACACACAGCAGGGATTTAAAATTGGCAATTAAAGTGCCCCTTTGATGAAATAATGACCAAGTATCAAAAGAAAGTCAGGTAGACTGAAAATGCACCAACACACCTTCAGATAGTACATACGACAGCAACTAAAACACTTCCCAGCTGTCTGATTACCTACAAAACAGCAAACTGAATTACTCATCAAGGACAACATGCTCCGAATTTCCAGTCCTCCCAAAATTGCACGGAAAACATCAGATGCCCATTAAAAAAGATTATGATTTAGCTTTGTCTTTTAAGGTTTAAAGCCTTGCATTATAGTTCCCTCCAAGGATCTCAAACAAAACATATCTAAATCTAATTATAAATATACAGTTAGCATAACATTAAGGTTAAAAGTTACATTTTGTAATAGTTGCATTCACTACTTAAACTTTTGTTTCACAAAAGCACAAGATTTTGCACAAAGTGCATTTTAAATCTTTTGAAAACACCTGGCATTCTAAAGTCCTCCTGGGTGCTCCTTGATGAAAACTAACAGCAGCTTACGTTTCTGGGTACTTATTTTGTGCCAAGCACCATCCTATGAATTAGGCTCACAGCAACCCTACGAGCTCTTTTTATTATCCCCATTTTACACTAAGAATAAAGTTTCTGAGCTGTCCTGAATTACCGCAGTGGTGTCCATGTGGGTTTTTTCCCTACTAGTTATGTGAAAGGCAATTGACTGGACACTTAGGCACCACTTCAGCAAAAAACAAAAACCAAGTATGTGAATTATGACGTTCAGAGCTTGAAAAAGTCTGAGTCTCAGGAGGATAACCAGCTTCCAGGGAGGCGAACAACAGAGCACGTTTAAAGGGCTCTATCCAGTGAGTGTGTTCAGCGACCCAGTTGTGCCGAGTTGTTTAAGGCTGCGGTTCACCACCTTCCAACGATGAGACAAGAGTCCCTAGACAGCCCGGCTTCCCGAGCCGCCTCCTCCCTCCATTACCCGGCTCAGGGAGTCGGGGGGTAGGCGGAGCTCCCCAAATTCACACCTGCTGGAAGCCCCAGTTCCTCCTCCGAGAGCACCTGAGCAACTGACACCAGCTCCGATCGCCCGAGCAGGCAGGCTCCGCCAAGCCCCTGGGCCGTCTCTCCCATCCTCCTCCCCGGAATCCGGCCTGCTTCTGGCCGGAGCCCCCCCCCCCCCCCAACCCCGGGCTGCCAGGACGGAGCAGGCGGAACCGCGGCCTCCGGCCCTCTCTCGCGGCGCCATCTTGAGAAGGGAACAGGGTGACACCCGTCGCTCCCTCGGCCGGTCCCCAAATCCTGGCCTCCGAAGCCCCTCGAAGGATGAGTCACCAGGGCCGGTGGGTCGAGACGCCGGGTTCGGCCCATCTCCAGTCTCGGGCCCCGACGCGCGAGAGGGAAGGGCGGAGGACTCCGCGCCGGCAGGGCCCGCGGACCACCCGGGGTCCCGACCCGCTCCGCGCAGGCGGAGGGCCGGCTCGGTTACCTGAGTCCGCAGCTCGCGGGGCCGCGGCGCCGAAGCTTCTGGCTGCAGGTCCCAGGCGGAGCCCGAGAGGAGGCTGAGGCGGCGGTGGTGGCGCGTCTCCTCGTCTCGCCGCTCCCCTCAGACTGGACGGTGCGGGGCTCGTGCCGCGGTGCCGCCCCCGTCGGTCTCCGTCTCCGCCTCTCGCCGCTCCGCCTTCCTCTTTGCTTTCTCCTCCTCCGCCGCCGCCGGCGCTCGAGTTCCCACTAAATCTTCCTCCTCCTCCCTCCTCCCCTCAGGCCGGCCGCCGGCTCCTTCGCTAACCAAAACACAAACACTCCAGTCCCAGCGCGGTAGCCACTTCCGCCGCCCGGCGCCGGCCTCGCCGCCACGTCGCCGCACGTCGCAGACTACGCCCCTTCGTCACTTCCGGTCGTTCCCCGTCCGCCCGTTCTATCCGCTCCCCCGCCCCCTCTCAGAGCTTTAAGAGTCCGGGCTGGGCCGCGGGGCGGGGCGGCCGCGTCACGTGACCCCAGCGAGCCGCGGGGTCGGCTACGGCCGCGGGCCGCCTCCCCTTGCCCGCTTCCCCGGGGCGCGCGCGGCCCCGCCCCCGTCGGCGCCATTGTTATCTGGGCGGTGGTCGGTGGCTCCCCGTGGCCGAGGGCGGGGACGAGGCGGGGACACTCCTTGGCCGGCCTGCTCTAGGGGGAGCCCAGAAGAGCTTGGGTTTGTTACTCCCAGGCGGTGTGGGGCGGCGAAGTTTTCTCTGTGAATATGAGCTGTCAGTTCCCCTTCCCCTACCTCTGCAACAGCCCAACAATGCCCCCTCGGCTTAGGGGCTTTTTTGTGGGGGCTTTTCTAGCACAAGAGAGCCTTCCAACACGTCCCTAGGGATGGGTGGATAGGTAAGGGGCATTGACTCCAGGGAGGAGGATGCGATCCTCCCCCGACCCCCGAAAGTTGTCTTTAGGCGGGGACATTTTCAATAACTTGCTTTTCTTGAGAGCCTACCTGTTTTGGGTGCGAAGGGGCAAGTTATAAAATAATAGGTAGCTTTTATAAAGAATTTCCCGTCGCGGGTTACTGCACTAAACGCTTTACAGGAATTATCCCATTTTCTTCCTACGCTACGGGGCTCTCACTCTGAAACTAGCTCTATCGTCCGCCTCCCTCTACATTGGAATATTACCTACCCAAAGTGGTCCTCGCCGCTGTCTAGCACAGCAGCTGGCAGCCAGGAGTCTTCAGTCGTGGCTGTGGAATTCACGAATGTGCCGTGCCTGTTTTACAGGTAAAGAATTTGAGGCACAGAGATTGTGTAACTTGTCCAAAATCACCGCGGAGTAGGTGATGAAATTGTGTTCTAACCTGCGGGCTGGCTCCAGAATCTGAGTTCTTAAGCACAGTTCCAGTAAAAGAACCCAATACATTCATTAGCCTCCATTGCAGACCTACTTAAGGCAAGCTGTTTTGGCTCCATCTCACACAACAGTCCCTGGCTGAGCATCTGAAACAGAACAAAAAATTCCTTTCGGAATTTGGGAGAATGTTAAATCGATTTTTCCTCAGGATGAGGGTTGCTTTTTCAGTTTGCTGTTTACTATTTATAGCCCTGCCGTGTGGCCATCAGTTTTGATCGTCTAGATATGTACTTGGCCTAAGGTATCCTGTCGGTGCTCAGTCAACATTTTGCAATGAAGGTGATTTGAACCCTTGAACAGCCAGCCTTTCAGCTCAACCTCCCAGTTACCCCAAGAACATTATGTGTCATGTGCAAACGGTGTCTGTGGCACTTTATCCCAAGGGGTGGTTCCAATATGGTATGTTAGTCATGGTGATACCTCTTGGACGATCCCAGGAATAATCAGGAAATAGGATATGTCACATCAGTTTTGGCATGTCAACAGTATGCCCCAAACCAAACCTATTCCATCCCAAATGTGCTTCTGCTTGGTGACTGGTATTAACAGCCTCCCAGTCACCTAGACTTGAAAGAGCAGAATCATCTTCAGCTCTTCGTTGTCCTATTCTGTCACCCAAAATTCTCTAATCCCAAATCTAAGCTCTAATCCCAAAGCCTGGGCCATGGTAGTATTTGTACAAGCTGAAATTAATGCACACTCCTGCCTTTTCAACCCATTCTTTACACTTTGGCCAGTCACTCTCCTACTCAAAAATATGCAATTGCTAAATAGAGTACAAAGTTCTTCAACTCTGGTCCCAACCCATGTTTCTTTCATTCTGTTTCTAAAGCCTCCCTCTCCCCAAACTCTTGCCTTGTGACCTAATCATACCAGTCTACTCTGTGTTCCCAGAGTGTCGCCTGTGTGTTTCCATCTTGGCATCTTTGATCACTTTGTTCTCTGCACCTTGGAATACCACTACCTCTCATCACTGCAGGTCTCACCTTGGCCAGGATGCCAACTCCTCTGGATGGCATCTGAGGCTACTTCTACTGGATTTAGTGATCTTTTTCCTGTAGTTTCATGATACTTTACTGTCTGTAATAGTTCTAATATGTATCTGTCTTATTTTACAGTTAGAGAGTACCTGCCTAGACTTTCCTCCTCAGGCTTTCATTCCCATTAGGATTTTAAAGTTCTTAAGGACCAGGACCATAATTTATTCATGATTTAACTTCCTTTCAGAGGAACTTTGATTGATATCATAGGGACTCCCCAAAATTTGTGAGCTTAATTGCATTTTTTTTTTGCCACACCATGCAGCTTGTGCAATCTTAGTTCCCTGACCAGGGATAAAACCCCACCTTCCACAGTGAAAGCACTGAGTCACTAACTACTGAACCACCAGGGAATTCCCAAGCTTAATTACATTTAGAATGGTGAACATTTGACTTAAGTCCTCACAAATAACACCTGGATGCTGAAATTTATACATTGTTAGGAACTCCCCATCATTGTTCTAGGGTATTGCTTCCTCATTCATTTCTTTCTACCAATTTTTAAAATATTTATTTATTTTGGCTGTGCCGCGTCTTAGGTGAGGCACACAGGATCTTTGTTGAGGCATGCAGATTTCTTAGTTGTGGCATGCATGCAGGATCTAGTTCCCCGACCAGAGGTCGAAACCGGGCTCTCTGCATTGGGAGCACAGAGCAGAGTCTTACCCACTGGACCAGCAGGGGAGTCCGACTTTCTACCAATTTTGTCTTTTAATTCACTTCCTTCGTGAGGGAATTCCTGGCTTTCCAGAGGTTAGCAGTGCTTTCATTGCTGGGGCCTGGGTTCAATGGTCAGGGAACTAAGATCCTGCAAGCTGTGAGGCAAGGCCAAAAAACCCCAATTCTCTGTATTCATGAATATATTCCACAGTATTTTATAGTTTAGTCATAATGTTTGCCTGGGGAGTTCTGCTCCAGTGGCTGGTACCTCTAAGATCCAGTAGTAACTTTGGAGAGATGGAAATGCCACAGTAAAGCTTTGCTCTTGTACTCCCACTCACAATAGGCCTGTGTTTTTTTTCCCCCTAACTCTGGATAACTGAGGAGGACTGATAATTGGATACATTCTAGTAGCAAATGGGAGATCCTACTGAAACCGTGTAACTTGGAGTGGGACTTGAACCCACAGGCCGGGACCCAAACCCAGCCAAAACCCAGATTGGGACTTGAACCCATGGTCTTTTAATGGAGATCACACCTAGTCTCAGGACTTAATGAAGCTCATGTTCTTGATGTCTCATCGCAGAAAGAATTCAGTGAGAGACAAAGTGATAGGTAAGAAGTGGATTTATTTAGAGAGAAACACACTCCATAGACAGAGTGTGGGCCATCTCAGAAGGTGAGAAGAGCACCAGGGTAGGGGGGTTGTCAGTTTCTATAGGGGTGGGTAATTTCATAGGCTAAAGAGTGGGAGGAGTATTCCAGCTATTTTGGGGAAGAGATGGGGATTTCTAGGAATGGGGCCACCGGCCACTTTTTGACCTTTATGGTTGGTCTTGGAACTGTCACGGCGCCTGTGGGTGTGTCATCAGCTTGCTGATGTGTTACAATGATCATATACTGAGGCTCTAGGTCTAGTGGAAGTCGACTTGTCCACCATCTTGGACCTATTTTGTTCTAATCTGTTTATGTCGTGTCCTCGGGCTATGTTATTCTTTTAAAGGTTGTGCCCTGCCCCCTTCTCTCCTGTTTAACTACTAGGTGGTAAAATTTCTTAAGGAAGCTACAAAATGGATGGAGCCTAAATAAAGTCATGCAGAACTGAACACTGCCCTTAGTGCTGCCTTTGCCCTCAAATCTCTAAACACCGACTCAGGAATTCCCAGCACCTTGCATCTCTCAATCATCCACAACACTCCATGTCTTCTACCTTCTCCTCCAGGAAATCTTTCCATTGTGTAGTTGAAGAATGACTCTTTGCATAGATGGTAATGAATGGTAACATTCACTTTTAAATGGGACTGTCTGGAGACAAACCGAAAGGTAATTCTGGCATAAGGAATTGTAGGCATGGTGGCAAGGCAGTGAGAAAAAGGCTATGGAAACTTGAGCTATTCAGGTTTAAAAGCTAGTGTCTTTGTAGGACATCATGAAAGCCTCAGCTCAAGGTCACATACCTAAGGGATTTCTAAGCCCATCAATTCTAAAGTAGCTTCCCTCCATATCAAAGTGTTCTGTTTTCTTCATGGTACTCATCACTCATCATGTGAAATGATCTTATTTATTGCTTTACTTGATGGTTATCTATCCCTACTAGAATATAAATTCTATGAGGTAGGGATTAGCTTAGTCCATTGTATTCCCAGAACTGACACAAAATGAGGACTCAGTACTGTAGATAGTTGTAAACAAAAGAATCGAATGAACACTTATACAGACATACGTTGATTTACACACAATCAAGTCATTTAAATTGCTTAGGGGGAGAAGAATATGTATACTAGCTATCTAGAAAATTACAGTACACTGTTTTTACAAATGTAAAATAGTATCCCTTAACCACTTTTTAAAAAAATTGGGGGGCTTCCCTGGTAGCGCAGTGGTTGAGAGTCCGCCTGCCGATGCAGGAAACACGGGTTCGTGTCCCGGTCCGGGAGGATCCCACATGCCGCGGAGCGGCTGGGCCCGTGAGCCATGGCTGCAGAGCCTGCGCGTTCGGAGCCTGTGCTCCGCAACGGGAGAGGCCACAACAGTGAGAGGCCTGCGTACAGAAAAA